CTGCATTCTTTTCAGCCACCAGCCACAAGACGGAGCATGCAGCCTGTGACCTGAGGCTGCACCTGCCTCAGCTTGCTTTGCAGGGTTCTTGCATCCCCTGGGTTCTGCTGGCTTGGATTTCACTCCTTTATTATAGTTGCTTTTGTCGCCTTTCTATTCATATCAGCTATTGAGGGACTGCTCTCCTCCCTCCTTTCTATTCATATCAGCTATTGAGGGACTGCTCTCCTCCCTCCAAAGTTGATACCATCTTTTATCAATATTTGGGGCAACCTCTAGCAATTCCTTGGGAAAAGTTGCCTGGTGTAACCCAGGGGGTCAGAGGACTCTACATTCTCATTAGTAGCTGACTTTCCTTGTCAGAGCAACCTCTTGCGCCTTCATTTGTAAATGATTAGGTAGCAGTAAGCAGCTTGGAGCACTGGGGTTCACTGAGTGCCAGCTGTGCGCTAGCTGGTGAAGTCACCCACCTGTCCCCCAAGAACGCCGGAATGGGAAAGACAGACATGTGAACACGTACAGCAAATAGTCCACAGGGTGAGACATGCTGAAGCCGAGATTGAGAGGAGGATACAGGATGAGTCGGGCCCTGGGAAAGAATCATCCCGCCTGGGGCGATGTGCCAGGCGCGGGAGGGAGGGAGGACGTGAGTGCATGTCCAAGGGAGGCGGTGCTGGCCTAGGCGGCAGGGCACAGCCTGTGTGCCACATGGAGAGGGGCAGCCCAGCCCGCGGTGTTTTAGGGGACTGGCCTGCTCCACGTGGCTGGGAGTTTAGGATACAGGACGGTCCCATGAAAGAGGCTCAGATGTGAAGGACTTGGTTCCAAAGAACTTGACAAGCAAGCCAAGGTTTTGGACATGATCAGATTTTTGATACCTGTAAACACAGCAAGAAATCCTACGTCAGGCGTGCCAAGTCCACAGCCTTTATCTCTGGGGCCCGTGGTTCCTCATTACTGTTTACTGGCTGCTGCTGCTGCTGTTGCTGTCTATTTATAGGGAACCAATAACTCTGTAAACACCTGTTTTCCTTTGGTCACGGAGCACAGCGTAGTTTTATTAACTGGAGCCAGCCTGCCCGGAGAAAACAACCTGCTTCCCCAGCCGCAGCCTTGTTTTCCACGGCCGCTGCAAGGCATCCCTGTGGAGGCTCTTGAGTTCCTCCCTCTCTGCTGTGCGCCCAATAAATGAAGAGTCTCATGCTCTGACCACGTGTGATTTCATTCAGTTTTAAGTCTGTGATGTCCGGTGGGCTTTATTCTTTTCAGTTCTACAACCAGCTTTCCCATTAGGATCCTGACCTGCAGGTGCTTGGTTCAGAAAGCTGGCTGGGGTGAGGCGGGGCTCCGTTCTCTTTCTTGGATCAGGTGGGTGGCCCTAGCCATTTCGCCCTAATGAGGGCTATGGGGACTGTTCTCTCCGCCCCACAGGTTGCCACAATCCTATCCAGCCATCCTCTTCTTTGTGCCGCCTCCCCACCCTCCCATGCCTTTGAATTTCCTGGTATCTGTGCCTGTGCGTTGCCCTGTGCTTTCCTGGCTCCCACCCACACCGCCCTCCCTTTCCGCATATCCTGACCCTCGCACTTGTCCACTGGCCCCGATCAGAGCCCTCGTTTCAGCATATCCTCTTCCTCTTCCAAAGCCACAGGTGTTTGACACTGATACTACCATTGCCCGAAGGCCCCTGCAGGTGTCAGGCACTGAAGTTGTGCCCTGCAGTTTTGCAGCTGTCATCTCTTAGTCCTTACCACAGCCCCTTCAACCTTTGTGTTGTATTATTATTTCTACCTGGTGGGTCAGCAAACAGCCATGTGACAGGCTGCAGGTGTGTAGGCCAGTAGGTAGGCCACGGTTAGCGAGCCGGGCTTCACGACTCAGGTCCGTTTAAACCAAAGCCTGGGCTCTCGACTTGACTGTGAGCCTCATCTAACATGCTTATTGGTCAGGAACATACACACCCTTTCCCCCCTCAACTTTTTGAATAAACAAATGAATCTAAGATTGTAATTATTGAGATAGGAAAGTGCGTGAATCACCTGTGTACAGCTCAGTGACTTTCTACCAAAAGCTTTCTAGAACCCTCCTGTGTCGCTGGGTTGCCCAGGGTGACCAGCACTCAGATTTTGAATTTTGTCTATGATTGAACTGTAAAGGCAATCACACCATATTCTTTCAGTATTCAGTCTTGAGATATATGCACAAATATTCTCTGTTTGTAAATCCCCCTTGCTGGTTGGTCTGGCCCTTTCCCAGCTCCTCCATCAGAAACGTAAGTTTCCTCCTGCATCTCTTGAACGTCCTCATGATGAACCATCAGCGTGGTCTTTTCTCGGAGACGGTCTTATTTTTCTTGTGGCTGAAAAGTGAATTCCAAACCATCTCGCTCGCTCCCCTGGTCACTGCTTCCAGTCCGCTCCTCTCTGGGACCCTCCACCCTCCGTTGTTCTGGTTTGTTCATTTGATTAGGCTCCCAGCACCGCGGCCAGTGTCTGCTTCCTCTGAGGCCCCCTGGGACTGAGGTATTAACATCCATACGGGTTTCCCCTGGGACGGACAAGTGTTTGCAGCTTCTGGCAGCAGTTCACTGCCCTGCGAATCAGTTTTAAATCGCTCAGCATGATCGCCGACCTGCGCCGTGTGAAGCAGAGGATGCCTGGGGCAGAGGTGGCGTCTTCAGAGAGGACAGGACAGCTCTTTGCCTGGATGTGGCACCTCTGCTTTGATCTGGAACATTGAACTCTGTAATAAGCAGAGTTCCAGTGGGAGTTAGAAAAAATCTCCTTCCCTTAAAAACCCAGAATTGCCGAAAGGGCCTCTGATGGAAACTTCGCCCACGTGGAAGTGACTTACGGCAGAGAACCTGACCTTCCCTCCTGCCACTGTCATCACAGAACAGAAAGCCTGGAGAGGCAAGTTCTCTCCCTGTGCCAATACTGTTCTCCCTAAACACATTAAATTCCACTGTATTTTTTTTTTTTAACTCATAGTTTATAGTCAATATTATTTTGTATTAGTTTTCTCCCAGGGCAATAAAATGAGATTTGATTTCAAATATAATAAATGGCCTAGGTTCGATTAACTATATAATGTGCATATATTGAACTATCATGTGGATTGATACATTACTAAGGGCAGCAAAGAATATTGTTGGATTAAAAAATATGAGGTTTGGTGTTTTGGTAACATAAGGGCTTTGAGCTGTTGTTGTTTTATGTGTGTATTTACTGCCTAAGGCAGTCTGTGTGGTTCCCATTTTGTGTGCTCAGTTATTCAGATGAAGAGTAATATTAAGGATTTGGGCCACTGAACCATTTAATAGTATTTATTGTAACCAATTTGTCAGGAGAGAACAGATATGTAAGATTGTATCCTTTGATTGGGGGCAGGAGGGATTCTTTTAAAAGTCACGTGTTTGATATTTTGCTTTTATAAGGAAAATAATAGCATATATTTTATTTTTAAGCTAAGCATGTATGTGGGTTTTACGTGCAGGCCAGTAGAGACCTGATATCTTGTGTGAATTTTCAATTTTGTGCTTGCTAAGTTATTTTACAAATTTTGAGTTGGTATAAAAATAAAAACTTAAATTCTGTATTAATACTCATGGTCTTTAGAGAATGCAAAGTGACAATGACAAGTTTCAGGGAGTGCCCATATTTAACCCAGAGGGTTATGGAAAGGAGGAAACTTCATTTATTGTTTATGTATATGGACATATAGAAAAGGTTTAATGTGGACCTTCCAATGAGAGAAAGTAAGACTTGTGCCAAATTCCATCAGTTTGGATGTGGGGTGAACATATTAGTAGTTCCATTCTCTAAAGTACCTTATTAACTTTGTGTATCTTTTATAACTGTTATATATTAATGCTGGGAGTTTAAGCACATTTACATGAGAGAGAATATACGTGTTGAGATTTTGGTGTGGAAACAAGTATGCACGACGATTAGTTTGTTTGTATTTAATAGGAGAAGAAGACAAAAGCTTAAATAGCAGAGTTTATTTCTTTCTCCCAGAGTGTCACCAAGGCCTCTGAACCCTGTCTTTCTGTTCTGCTTCCTTCAGCAATTGATTTCCATCTTCAGGCACCTTTTGGCCCCAAAAGGCTGCTGAGGCTCCAGTCATTTTGCTCATCTTGCAGGCAGACAGCAGAAAGGAGGAAGAGAAGAGGGCAGGCACACCTCCCCTTTTATAATTCTTTTCTTACTTTTTTTTCTTTAATTAATAAGCTTATTTCTTAGAGCAGTTTTAGGTTCATAGCAAAATTGAGAGGAAAGTACAGATAGTGCTCATGCCCCCCACGGAGTCCCCTTAGTTTTAGATTAAAAACTTTACTTGCGTCTGTCTCTGTGGTCAGAACAGGGACTCAGCTGGCTATAAGGAAGCTAGGAGCTTTGCTGGAGTTCGTGTACAGGGAGATTGTTGCAGGAGAAACGTGAAATTTCTGTCACAAAGCCATTGACCCAAGAGAATCTCTTTTCTGTTGTCTTGGTTATGCAAAACAAGAGCTTAAAATTGGTGCTTTAGAAAGCTGTATTTGTTTGTGTTGAGAGGCACTGTTTATTGTTTATAATTATTATGAGTTCATAAGTGCTTAACATAAGCATCAAAAATAATCATTTAACATTATGTAAAGAAATGATACAGTTATAAGGTACACGGAAGGAGGCATATTATGTCCATTTGGAGGCACATTTAGTGTTTTATAATTGGATTTGAAGGAATGCTTTATGGAATGGGTACACACAATTTAAACATTTAAATACTGTTCAATATATGTGTCTTTTGTTCTGCTACTCTTTTAAATTTGTTCCATCAGTGAATACTTCAACTTACATTGATTTTAAAAGGAAAATCGTAACAAGCGAATCTTTCCTTTTCTTTGTCTTTCTCACAGAAGTGCGTGGAGGTTGTGACTAATTGCTTTATGATAGATGGTGTTTTTTTTTTTTTTTTCTGTTTTCCTCTCCTGCCCTTCTCTCTTCTCCTTCCCAAAGTGCCTACTCCTTCCATGTGACGGCAGACGGGCAGATGCAGCCTGTCCCTTTTCCCCCCGACGCCCTCATCGGACCTGGCATCCCCCGACACGCTCGCCAGATCAACACCCTGAACCACGGGGAGGTGGTGTGTGCAGTGACCATCAGCAACCCCACCAGACACGTGTACACGGGTGGGAAGGGCTGTGTCAAAGTCTGGGACATCAGCCACCCCGGCAATAAGAGCCCTGTCTCTCAGCTTGATTGTCTGGTGAGTGAGCAGAACCCGGTGCACGAGGGTAATGTCTCCCTGGAGACTCAGTAAGGAAATATCTGTCCGGGCCTGGGTTTTAATTCCCATTAGGAGGAAATTGAAGCCCATTCTGTTTCCTGTGTTAGCGATTTAGCTCCCTGCCACCTCTTTGCCATAGATGTGAAGTTTTCATTTGCTGCTCTTTCGTGGTTGAATCCCATGATGGATTTCTTTTTAGAAAAATATTTTAGAGTCGTTTACAGAAGCTGTCCTTGTTCAAATGTGTATTCAAAAGGTGGTTTCCCATTTAATGGCTGAAAGCTCAGCTAGCCCTGGACTCCGAGCCCTGCAACCCACTCAACTTTTAATTTCCCTGCAGCCTTTGGATAAATATTGAATAGTAAACATTTGATAACATGGCATTACAACCAGTCTGAACGGGGTCTGTATTTCCAGGGAGGCCTGGGGAGCTGGCTGGGCTTTATTACCTTCACTTCAGGAAAGGGTTAACGGATCACGCTGCGAGAAATCAGGGCCCCTGTCAGCAAAACGGGGGTGGTGAGAAGGCTTTTCCCAGGTGCCCCGTCCACCCCTCAGCATCTGAGAATACCGCTGTGCATTTTCCAGGACCATAGGACCTGCTGGGCATGCTCCGGTCGCTAAGCTGTAACCCTGGGACCTACCAACCACATATGGTTGGCCTGAGACAGGCAGAGGCCACCCTGCCCCTGGGCGGAGTCTGCCTGCACTCGGCTCAGGTGGTGCCCTTCCCTCACTGCCTGCCTGGACCCCGGAGAGCGCCTCCAAAAAGAAGGGTAGCAGGTTTCCAGTCTTTGAGTGAGAGACCATGGTGGAAGAATAGTAAAAATAACTCAACCATGTCTATTTGGGTTGGAGGGTAGCAGTTATTTCTTTTGTGGGCAGGGCTGTCATTTTAGGTCCCACTTCTCTTTAAAATGTGTTGATTTTGATGGAGAGATGCCCTTTTTTAAAAATTAATTTTATTAATTTCTGAGGCATAAATAATGACAGCAACCAGGTTACAGGAAAGCAGCTCAATTAGATTCCTAGACAGGGAGGTACCTGGCTAATGAGGACACGGTCAGGCCTAAGTACGGATAGGAGTAATGGACACCAAAGCATAGGCAGGGGTCTGCAGTCCCCAGATACTAGTAAATAACAGAGAATGATGAGAACAAATATTTATAAACTAGCTTTGAAAAGAGGTTTCCTCGTAGAGAATTCTGTGTCTGTATCTACCTCACATCTACTGATAACTTCAGTTCTGTCTGCTCGGCGATAACTGAGCGTGAGGGACAGTCCCGTCTGAGCATGCAATCCTTTGAGTTCGTATCATTTACTCTTTACAGCTGCAATTGGATCCCAGTTTTTACGACAGAATTCTTGCTCGTTAGTGTCCGTGAAATAACACTTTTCAGGCCAAAAAACCAAGATAGCAGTTAGAGAACATGGCATTGTTATGGTTTAGTGTATAGTAGATGCAGCGACTGAATGTGTTTATTTCACAGAACAGGGATAACTACATCCGTTCCTGCAAATTGCTCCCCGATGGCTGCACTCTGATAGTGGGAGGGGAAGCCAGCACCCTGTCCATCTGGGACCTGGCTGCGCCAACCCCACGCATCAAGGCGGAGCTGACGTCCTCGGCCCCCGCCTGCTACGCCCTGGCCATCAGCCCCGACTCCAAGGTCTGCTTCTCCTGCTGCAGCGACGGCAACATCGCCGTGTGGGACCTGCACAACCAGACGCTGGTGAGGTGAGCACGGGTGGTTTTCTATTGGTGGGGAGGTCAGAAGACCTCCGGTCTCCCCTGCTTCTCCAGCTGCTCCCAGGCACTCAGCACACACCTTCAGATCTTACCGAGTGCCAGGCTGGGAGCCGGGTATCGGGAATGTCAAGAGGAATTGTGTGGTTCCCTTGGGGGGCTCACCATCTTGATGCTGTGCTCCAGTGTCCCCTAGACTTTATATTTAACTCCCTAATGTTCCCATTTCCATTTTTCAGGCACATATAGATGCCAGGCTTGTTTAAAAAGTATTCCTGGCTTTCGCCACATGGCGGCACATTATGGATTCCATGGCGGTATGAAGGGTCCTCAGTTATAGATGGTTTTGGCTTTTTTTTTTGTTGCTAATCCTGACCTGAGGTTATTTTCCCATTGATTTTTAGAAAGAATGAAAGGGAAGGGGAGAGATGGAGAGAGAGAGAAGCATCGATGTGAGAGAGACACTATTGATTGGTTGCTTCCTGCACACCTGCAGCTGAGGTACATGCCTTTGACTAGACTTGAACCCGGGACCCTTCAGTCTTCAAGCTGACGCTCTATCCACTGAGCCAAACTAGCTAGAGCAGATAGTTTTGGCTTGGCTAGAACCTTGTTTGTGCAAACAGGAGCCAACTAATAAAGGATAACAAAATGAACATTTGAAGAGGAGATTGCACAAATTTCACACACACTGTTTTTCAAATATCTGTGTTTGTTTTTATTTATTTATTTATTTATTTATTTATTTATTTGAGAGAAAGGGAGAAGAAGAAAGAGAAAGAAACATCAATGATGAAAGAGAATCATTGATTGGCTTCCTCTCCTGCACACCCCCAACTGGGGATCGAGCCCACAACCTGGGCATGTGCCCATGATCAGAATCAAACCTGGGATCCTTCAGTCCGACACTGTCCATTGAGCCAAACTGGCCAGGGCATATCTGTGTTTCTTGATAACTAGCTAACTAAGCCCTGTCCAGGGCCGCTCACCAGGAATGAGCCTGACTTCCTGGAATCTGTGCTTCTAACCGGGGTGAGACCTGCAGTCACTACCTTTGTGACTCTTCTTGGCCCTGGCAGCTCACTCCCTCCACCCAAGTCACTGCTCATACCAGAGATTTTATAGAAAAACCTTTGAAAATGTAAGCATTAAGACATTCAGGCAAAACTAGCATCTTTCGCCCTTCCATTTCACAGTTCATCTTCACTCTGAAACGCTCGTTTATGGTGTGATTTTAGGCTCATGAATTGCTTAGCAGGCCTCCTCCCAAAGCTTTGGGCCTGTGTGCTGGAGGAAGGGCTGGACAGACCATGGAGGTCATCAGAGCAGCTCCCTCTCATTCCAGAGAGAGTCTCTGAGCCAGACTCTGTCCCTGTGCATGTGACGGGGCGGTGGTTATTTCTCTCTCACCACTCACTGGGCAGAATGAGCAACTTAATGGAGCCGGAGCTGACAACTGCTTCAGACTTTTAACCTATCAAGTGTTCAGTTTTTTCTGTGTGTGTGTGTGTGTGTGTGTTTGTTTTTTAACTTAGGAAATAGCACTTTCAAAATATCAGTTCTCAGTGCTTTCAACTCTTAACCCATTTAGACCTCATAATGTCAGCACTCCTGTTATTCTGATTTTATAGAAGAGGAGCTGGAGGCACAGAGTTTGAGTTTACCTGCCCAGGGTCACACTGCCCGGCATGATGGAGCTGTGGTTGGGTCCGGTCACTCTGTTCTCATGTCTGTGTCTGAACCTCTTCTCTGTGACAGCCCCTTGGATATCAATACCTGCTTCATATAATGGGGTGGTGCTTCACAAATCTCTCTCTCAGTTTGGACCGGCCACCTATGGTTACCAGCTGCTCTGAGTGACCAAGCAGCGTAGAGTCTATGAATATCTTTGTATCTACTGTGAACCGCACATTCTGAACAGTCCTGGGGTCTTCCCTGTCAGAGCCAGAGATGTGTGAACAGAGGGCTGAAGGGACACCTACCAACCGCTGTAAGTCAGCAAAGACATTTGTAGTCAAGGAGTGAGAGTATTTTATGAGTTCTATAAGTAAGACGAAGTGAGAGGATGAAATCGAGGGGAGTCACTGGGTTCCAAGAGTGCTTGGAGGGAAGAGAAGCTGCACTGGCAGCACGTGGAGCAGGGTCGCCCTAGGCCTGTGTGACTGGTGGGAAGTCTGGAGCCCTCTGGGGTGCACGTGCTCCGTGAGAGTTTGGGAGAACCGGGGTGTCGGGAAAGAGGAGGACAGAGACAGAAGTTCAGAGTGATTCGCAGAGGAAAGATTTTTGAAGGGATGGTTCTCATGTTGTCTCAGACTTCAGGGCAACAGTGGTGCTGTTTTATTCCCTTACACGCTTACTAAATTCCAAGCTTAGATTAAAAGTGTGAAGACCTGTGGGAATAATAAGTGAGTGGAAAGAGAGGAATGGAAAATCCCCTCTTGACATTGAATTTCCCAAGCAGCTCTGTACTGGGTCCTGTTACCATCTCGATTGGGCCCCTGAGCATCTCTCCCCTGTTCCCTCTGAGCATGCAGAACCGGGTCCCGGACCCACAGACAGACAGCCCTGCAGCGACTTCCATTGATCCCCTCCCCCAGCGGCCCCACCTGCTGCCTAGCAGAGCATCTGTGCTTAGCAGATCCTGTTGGCTGATGGTTCTTGGTGTCGCTTTGTGATTGAAGCTTGAGGGCTCCCTTTAAGAGACCCACCTTGTGCTCAGTCTTGCTTTGGTGCCAGGGGTCAGCTTCAGCCGTTAGCTTTATCTCTGCTCAGCACCTTCGAGTCCGGAGGTGGGCATGACTTTTTGTCTCTGTGAGTCCAGACTTGGAATGAAGGATTCCTTCTAACACAGAGCAAGGATGAATCGCTGTGAGCTCGGCCTCTGTTGGCCAGAAGGGCACTGCCGTGTTGACCCTCCGCTGTGTTGTGAGTGCTCCTAGACCCCGAGCCTTTAATGTGGCCACGCGGGCCTGCAGGATTAAAGCCGGGTCTTCATCTATCTCTGAGGAATACGGCTGGGATTCTGTGTGGTTGTCTCTTTTTTTCCTTCTTCTAACAAGTAAAACATTTTTCCAGACCTGGGAGAGGCTTTACCTTCCAGGCAGGTCTGTAAGAACAGCTTTAGTAGCATGTTTGACTTCTGTGCAGTGACCTAAGGTGGCATTCTGTTTCTTTCGCACTTGGATCGTGAAGAAAGCAAAAGAAAACCTGCAGGTGCACCGTCTTCCTCCGGGGGCGGGGGCTGGGGGGGGGGAGGCTGGTTTGATCTTGTACATCAGCAGACTCTGAAGAGATGACACACACACCCCGAGTCCAAAACCAACAACACAACAGTGTTTACCTTGAGCTCTGGCAGGAAATCATTATTCAATCTGGTTTGTTTTATCAGGCAATTTCAGGGCCACACAGATGGGGCCAGCTGTATTGACATTTCTAACGATGGCACCAAGCTCTGGACGGGCGGCCTGGACAACACGGTCAGATCCTGGGACCTGCGCGAAGGGCGGCAGCTGCAGCAGCACGATTTCACCTCACAGGTGCCTGGCTCCTCCTATGTGGGATCTGGGAGGTGGTGTGTGTGTGTGTGTGTGTGTGTGTGTGTGTGTGTGCGCGCGCTCTCCCTCCCTTCATGCCCCATGACAGCAGTAGCTATACAAACAGACCGGGCTTAAATTTGAGATAGTGATTTTTTTTCTTTTAAACACCAATAAACAAAAAGCCCTTGAAACAGCTGCCTGCCCCTACCTCACCCAGTTTTAACAGTGACACGTGGCCCGTCTTGTCTCATTTATCACTCCTGCTCCAGACACACTAAGAGTGGTGTCTAAACTCCTTAGGTTCAGCCCTGATAGCTGTTACAGACATGTATGAGTTCGTTTAAGGAGTCGGTGCAATCAGGAATATCCAGCTTTCCTGCAGCAGGTTGGGTCTGCTTCTCCCGCCTCACGTGAGGGCGAGAGCTGATAATTCGATATAAACAGCTTGAAAAGCATGCAGGCACATCACAAGAAGTAGAGGAAAGTCACAACAGCTCTGAAAGTTAATTCATTTTTCTTGCATCGGGGAACATAAAAAAATGCTGCAGCCTCTCCATGGGTGCCTGTTTCATCACTTACCCTTTAGAAAATGGACTCATGGCTGACTAAATTTATAGAGTTTTGAAATGATATAAAACTCTCAACTTTGATTGTGGGTTGTGAAGATTATTTAGATGACAAGCTTCTGAATCCAGGTGTGTTTGGGGAAAGACTGTCATTTTAAGTGCTTTCTGATGGTAGAAGTGTTCTTTTCCACAGTAGACTGTTTTTTTTTTTTTTTTTTTTTTTAATGAAATAATTCCACTTAGGGGAAAAAAAATAGGATAAAAATAAAAAATAATTATATATACAATTAAATTTCCTGACCCTGTTAAAAATTTTGTGGAGTTTCTTCCCTGTTTTAGCCTTTTCCCAGTATGAGTAGAATTCTATTTGGTCTGCCCTCCTTTTTTTTTTTTAATCTTCTTGTGGAAATTTTTAAATACAGAAGAGAGTACAGAGGATGTGAAAGCATCTATGAGAGGACATAGGATTGTCCAGTAAACCCCACCTGCCCCTCACCTAGCTTTCAGTTAGTGAACGTGGCCCATCTTGTCTCATCACTCCTGCCCCAAACACTAGTGTACGTTACAGTGAATGCCAGACATTCTGTCATTCCAGCCATAAGTATTTCAATTAGTATCTGTAAAGACAAGGATCCCTTAAAACAACCACACACAAAAATACCATTAATATTGAGAATAACTTCTTAGTCTCATCACATACAAGTGCTCCCATTTTTCCCGTTGTCTCCTTTAAAGGCGTTTAACACTTAGCTCATCTGGGATGAGTTGCTTGTTGTTGACTTGACCACAGTTTGGAGTTTGCTGATTCCATCCTCCTGTTCTTGCTATTTTTTCCCCTTTCCCTGCTGCCTTTTTCCATCGTACGTTTACTAGGCAAACTCATCAGTGCGCTGCTCTGTTCTTGCAGATCTTCTCCCTGGGGTACTGCCCCACCGGGGAGTGGCTGGCCGTGGGCATGGAGAGCAGCAACGTGGAGGTCCTGCACGTGAACAAGCCCGACAAGTACCAGCTGCACCTCCACGAGAGCTGCGTGCTGTCCCTGAAGTTTGCTTATTGTGGTGAGTGCAGCTGAAGGGACCTCCGAGGACAGCGATGGCCTCTGGAAAAGACTTTTAGAAACAGAGTGGAGATCGTATCTGGGAAAAAAATATTGTGCTCTGAGCAGCTGGAAGTAATAATTCCACTGTCTTAATATGTCCCTCAGAGCACAATGATGTCTGTTTTCCTAATTCGAGAGAAGTCAGCAGGCAATGAAATTGCCTCATACAGGGTATTGACACATTTGTTTTTGGTGGGGAGAGTCTGGGGTCAGGGTGGGGCACGGTTAGTTGCAGCTCTGAAGAGGGCTGGTTGGGGATTTATCGAAGAGGCAGGCAGGAGTACAGGGAGTCATTGGGGAGTGACCAGGGTACGGAGCCCACAGTCAGGGTGTAATGTGTAGCTGAGCCTGAAGGTTGCACCCTGCAGTGAGGATACAGAGGGAAGAAGCCCACACAGGATCAAACACTTTTTCGCGAGATTAATGCGAGATGAGTAGCTATCGCCACTGACCGCACTCTGTGCGCCATGCGTCATGTCTGGCATTTTACTTAGGTCAGTCATTTAATCCTTCTTAGCCTCATATTGTCATGGGGAGACTAACAAGGACAGCAAAGTCACTGATTCCCTGTTTGAGGACCCACTGTGTGCTGGGTGTGGTGCTACCCATCGTGGCTAAGGAGGCTGATATGGTCCTTGCCCCTATTTTCATTAAAACCAAGATTACAGGTGATTCACAGCAGAGCCTGGATTTAAAACTGCTGTCTCTACTCATAGCATAGTCCAGCCCTTGGACAAGATAGTTTATGATTAAAAATGCTCTGAGTTTGATTAAGTCCGTGAAGCTATAGTATAGTAGGGATTTTATCTTGTTAAACCACATCTTCCTTTGCTAATTCTAGGTAAGTGGTTTGTGAGTACTGGGAAAGATAACCTCCTCAACGCTTGGCGGACGCCCTACGGAGCTAGTATATTCCAGGTGAGTCAGTGTTCCTTACCGAGAAGGACAGTTTGGCTTCGGCGGCCCAGTGACACCCCAAGTGGAAGGTGCCTTGGAGGGAGCGGGGCCTCTGAGCATCTCTGTTCTACAGTAAACACGCCCCCGCTGTTCTCTCTTCCAGTCCAAAGAGTCCTCCTCTGTGCTCAGCTGCGACATCTCCGTGGATGACAAGTACATAGTCACTGGCTCAGGGGACAAGAAGGCTACAGTCTACGAAGTCATCTACTGAGAACATTACGTGGTTTAATGTTTATAGTTGAATTGGGCCAAAATGTTTTGAATTTGTAGAAATAGAAGAGTTGTAACTTTAAAAACAAGAAAACCTGTTTTTAAACCTTGACACAAAACGACTTTGAGTCTACAAAGAGGAGGCAACGCATCCATCAGCAGAAGGTCACCTATCTGCGCCAAGGCTAGTGGACAGAGGGGCCGGGGCTGCAGGCTTGAGGGACAGAGCCTGTGGCCCGGGCGGTGCCAGTCCTTTCCTTCTGTGTGGTCTGCACAGATTACCTTTCTGTTCCCTGCGGTTCCCCTCACCTTCCGTCCTTGGTAGCGCAGTGGTGTCTCCAATGAACTTGTTTCCTGGTTTTGCATCTTGTGAAACGTTTTTTTCTATTTTTGTTGAAGGTTAAACATTTGTATAAATTGTAAATATATTTGGTTTATTACAGTAAAGCCTTTAGTACCAATAAGTGGTTTTCCTTTGCCTTGTTATTATCAATGCTTTGGGGTCATTGATGTGGGTTTTATAAGCAAAGTCCCAACATTTGTAGAGGACATTTTAAAAGCACTTCTGATTTTGTTCATGTATTTGGCCATGGGTTTCTGCTCAATGGCATCCCAGTCAGCACTTTTGAGTTACTGGAAACCCAACACTAGGTATCATGCGTAAATCGAAGGTGTATAAATAACAGTTTTATTTGGGAAGCTAAGATAACTTGGTCAAAATTTATTATTTTGTTAGGATACTCTTGTCATTTGAGGTCATAGGTGAAAATTCTGCTTCCCTTGGTGATTCATTGGGGAACAGAATGTTTTTTTCTCTGCTACAGAAGGCTCAGCTTTTTCAAACCTTTAATCTCTTCTTCACAAGCCTCACGTCTCAAGGAGTGCAGGTAACTGGGGCCTAGTGTTAAGATTGATGATGTTCACGAAGCTGTCGAGGTTATTAACCTGTAAAGGAAGGGTGAGCTGTCAACTGGTTTTGTCTCCATTAATACTTATTTGATCTGTTAGATTAACTTACTGTTCTGAAGCCAACCACACCCAGCGCTTCACCTCACCCTCCTCGTTAAGGCTTCCCCTGCAGCTCAGCCGTTGCTCTCCGCCGCAAGTCTGTTCCTCTTTGTTGTGGGTGAGCTTTTACTGATGACACTAGATGAAATCTAACCCTGGGCTTTGAATAAGCTGCCATACATGTTTCCTCCTGAAAAGAGTCCAGGGCTCATTCTCTATATACCTATTGTTTACTGGTACATTTTAGAAAATAATGAGCAACGATGTTAAGCCACATTTCCCGGCAGTTTAAAATCATATCTAAGGACTTTTTAATGTTCTTGCTTTCTTATGATCCCAAGAGCCGTTGGTAAGTTTGTCTTAATATTTTTTGTTTGTTTGCATTCCAGACCTTATTTTCTTTATACATTTAACAACATTATTTTGTTTGCTTTTTTTGCCAAAATAATGCTTGTTTATGTACAGAGTTTGTTAAATATTTTCTCTTATTATGCAAATGGCAAAGCCCTAATCACTAACTTGATTTCTCTCCTTTCCTTGTGTAATGAAGTAGGTTTCTGTACCACAGACTCTGACCGCTGATTAAAAGACTGTGTACCTTTCTGTTCTCTCTTCTCACTTCTCCATTTTCTGTAATAGTAGGACGGAGGCTAAGTTACTGGAACAGAGACCCCACTGATACAGTGGCTTAGAGACCACAAAGGTTTGCGTCTCTCCCACGCAAGACCCAGAGACTTGGGCCGGCAGTGCCGCTCTGCCTCCAGGGTGGCTTCATCGTCCCCACTTCCAGCTGGCAGTGGACAGAGTGGAAGTCCAGGGGCAGGGATGTGCACTCAAGCAGGTGACTAGGCATTGGTTCATCCCTCCATCTTGTTGATTAGCAAGGATTTAGTCACTCCCTAGATTGGGAAATGTTGGTGTCCATGTGTCCATGAAGCGGGGGTGGGGGTTGGGGGGGGCACATTCAAAAGATTTCTGAATTAAAGAAATAGTCCTTTTTTTTTGTTGTTGTTCTGCATTTTCTCCCCTCATGCCTTATAGGTTACCCAGCTTCCAATATTCTCTCTCTAATTGGATTTTCTCTCATAAGGTCTAGATTATCAACTTAAGGATTTGCTTTTGGATGAGGCACTCATTTGCTCTTGGAAGAGGCATTCTAGAGCTAGTCCCTCTGCTCAGGGGGCTTGGAATCATAATGAATTGCCTGGATAAACTGTCTCCCTGCTCATAAAAATGGAAATAATAAAATTGTCATGCCCAGTTTTTAGGTTTTGAGGATCAGAAATGGGCATGTGAAATAGGATTGTGAGTGGAGGGGGCAGGCATGGGAGATTTTTTTTCCTAAGCTGTGAATTTAGGAAGTAACTGAATTAACACTCCTCTCCAAGTGATGGGAATCATGGTTATTGAAACTCAGGTGAGCCAAACCTCTTGTAAGTTAGGGTTCAATAAATTTCAGATTCAGCTAGACATTGATAACCAGTATGTGTCAAGAGTCATGCTCATCAAATCAATAAAATATATTTAAGAAAAAAAAATTGAGGTGACCATCATCATCCTTAAGTAAGCAAGACTCAGGAAAACTATGGCTTCATAGGAGGCAGAACCAGATCCAGGTTTATCGTGGGTCCTGTCTGTGTTCCTTCAAATCTGGGTGGTTGTGATTTTTCCAAGCGGTTGAAATTGCCTCTTACCTTCAATTCCCTGGGTACCAGTCTGGTGCATAAGAGTATAAGAGTAGGTAGGTTTGCCCTAGCCGGTTTGGTTTGGTGGATAGAGCATCGGCCTACTGACTTAAGGATCTCAGGTTCGATTTTGGTCAAGGGGACATGCCTGGGTTGTGGTCTCGTTCCTCGGTGGGGCAGCATGCAGGAGGCAGCCAATAAATGATTCTCATCATTAATGTTTCTATCTCTCCCCTTTCCTCTCTGAAATCAATAAAATATCTATACTAAGCCTTGGTGGTATCTCGCCCTTGTGTCATCACAAGATGGCTGGCAGGGAGGGCTGTTGGGGGTGATTGGGCTGGCAGGGGTGCAGTTAGGTGTCGATTGGGCCAGCAGGGGAGTGGTTAGGGGGTGATCAGGCTGACAGGCAGAAGTGGTTAGGGGCTGATTGGGCAAGCAGGCAGGCGAGTGGTTAAGTGCCAGCATTCCCAGATTGTGAGGGTGCAGGCTGGGCTGAGGGCCACCTCCCTTCCGCCCCCGCCAAGTGTATGAATTTCATGCACTGGGCCTCTACTATATGTATAAAAAAAGAGTAGGTAGGTTTGAGTTCACTAACATAACTTATGCAGATAATTGTTTTCTTCATTCTTTGTAATAGGTTTACATTACATATATTCATATATTTACCTTTTTTTTTTTTATCACTCAGTCTTTACTGATATATTGCATGTAAGTTTTTGCCATGTAATTCTTCCATGGAATTGACGTTCACTGTGTAAAAACTGAAATTCTAATATGATAGGTTTGTAGTACCTTTTTCATAACTAGATGTTTTTATCACTTACAATAAGGACAACATATTTTGTCAATAGGCTCATTCACCTTTATTAAGTTTCTGTTATTTACCAGGCAACAGAGAAGTGATTGACAAATTATAATTCTCAGTGTTTGAGAGATGTTTATTTTTAAATATATATATTTTATTGATTTTTTTACAGAGAAGGAGAGAGGTAGAGAGTTAGAAACATCAATGAGAGAGAAACATCCATCAGCTTCCTCCTGCACACCCCCTATTGGGGATGTGCCCACAATCAAGGTACATACCCCTGGGACACCCTTGAGTCTACAGGCTGACGCTCTATCCACTGAACCCAACTGGTCGGTAAACCGTGGCTCACAAGCCACATGAGGCTCTTTGGCCCCTTGAAGTGTGGCTCTTCCACAAAATACCACGTGCGGGCCCACAAGTACAGTGCGATTGAAACTTCTTAGCTCATTTGCAGAAGTTGGTTTTCGGCCTGGGCAAGTCTATTTTGAAGAAGTGGCCAAAGAGTGCACAGTTTGCCGACCACTGGGTTAGGGCAGAGATGGCATTTTTAATGAGTTATTTAAGACTTCGTGACTGAGAAGCAGTAGCTGGTTCCAAACCCGTGGAGCATTTATACAGGGCTTTTAAAAATTGCACTTTTGGCCAAAACCGGTTTGGCTCAGTGGTAGAGCGTCAGTCTGCGGACTGAAAGGTCCCGGGTTCAATTCCAGTCAAGGGCATGTACCTTGGTTGCGGGCACCTCCCCAGTGGGGGATGTGCAAGAGGCAGCTGGTCGATGTTTCTAGCTCTCTATCCCTCTACCTCTGTTAAAAAAAAAAAAATCAATAAAATATATTTTTTTTAAAATTGCACTTTTGCTAATGGCTCACTGAGGTGGTGACTTTCCCCAAAGTTTTCTAACAAATCAGAGCCAGAGATCCAGTTCTTAATTTCAGCATCCTGTTTAACTCCATCAAGAGACGCTGCCCCTCGTCAGCTTGAGCCAGAGTGATGACATTTCAAGTCCCCTCTGCTGCAGGTTCATGGATTGTTTGCTTCGCAAGGATGTCTTCTCTTCACTCTCGCTTGGCAATGAAGTCAGCAAATCACCAGTTTCAAGCTCCCCTGAGCTAGATGACACTTGTCTTTAAGGGTAATGGCCAGCGGAACTTACTCCCCAGACTTCTTGCACTTAAACAGTTCAGTGGTTTTGGGTTCATTTTTTTAGAGAAGCTTTCCCCCAATTTTTTGTCTGCATCCAAATCACCAGGAGGACTAGTTAAAAATCAAATTTCTGTGCCCCCATCTCAGAGTTTTGGCTCAGTGGGTCCATGTGGGGGCCGAGAATTTGCATTTCTTAAACTAAGTTGCCCGGTGATCCTGAGGGTGCTGGTCTGGAGCAGCATTCTAACAATAGAACTATTAGTATATTCAGGAAATGTTTGAATATATTCATATTTTCTTAAGACTGGGATATACCACAGTTTAGGCTTTGGGGCTGAGGGTTAAAAGAAAAATGACAATAAAATACAAGGCATACTGTTTGTGTGTATGTGTATGCGTATTTTATTGATGTCAGAGAATAAGGGAGAAGGAGAGGAAGGAACAGCAATGATGAGAGAGAATCATTGATCAGCTGTCTCCCACACCCTGCCTTCTGGGCATTGAGCCCACAACCTGGGCTTGTACCCTGACCTGGAATTGAACAATGACCTAGTTCATAGGTTGGTGCTCAACCACTGAGCCTCACGGCTGGCAAGGCATACTGTTTCGAAGTTGCTGTTCTTGCAATAGTCCCTGTTCCCAAAACTATTTTTTTCTTGTTAATTAAAGCTTTTTTGGGGATAACATTGGTTAATGCTATAGAAGTTTCTGTTGTAAAGTTTTATTATGCATCATCTGTACACTGCATTGTGTGCTTACAGCATATATTTGACCCCCTTTACCCTCTACTTCTTCCTCCCCCTTCCCCTCTAGTGATAACCATTCTGTTTTCTGTCTATGAGTTTGTTTTGTTTTGTCTATTGCTTTTTGTTTTATGTCCCACATATGAGTGAAATCATTTGGTTTTTGTCCCCAAAACTAACTTTTGAAGCTGAATGTTATAATAGGTTTAAACCAAAGTCAAGTTTTTAAAAATGTTGCTTTTTAACTTAGCCATTTAATGAGTCTTCTACAGCTTGGAAAACCTACTGAGATGAAAACCTAATGGACAGTGTAAGCCTCAAGAATGTACGTGTGTTTAATTAGAGAGATGCTGCAGAATTAAAGGTTAGAAATTGTTCTCTGAAAGAGTGGAATACTTAACTGTGTGTTAAACAATAAGCTGCTGACTGTTATAAAATGTTTTCATTCAAATTATCGTTAGATTCAGCCGGCCAGCATTTAGGGAGGATGTGATCTCAGTTAGCACGTGGCGAGGTGGCTCTGGGCAGAGGACCAAGGTGGAATTGTTCCAGGGTGGGGCCTGGGGAAGGACCTGCTGATAGCAGGGGGAGGATGTGGGTGAGGCACTGCCCTGAGGAAACCAGCAGCAACGAAAGGGCAGGCAGCTCTGGGCATCTTGGATGTGAATTCTTACGTTGACAGTGGTTGGCTAGGACCACCAGTGATGCCATTCCAATAAGGCACTGAGCCAAGGGCTTCCAGATGTTCTCTCCTGATATATATGTTTTTTATCCTATACAAGTATCATACAACTCCGATTCTCCATTTGGAAAACATGGCAAGGTACAAAGAAGGAAATTAAAATCCCCAATTGCACCACCAAAAAAAAATATACCCTGTATGCCAATATGTCAACTATAACACAGGTGATTAATAACAAGAGCACCGGTTGAATGTTACCATGTGAAAAGGATAGGTGAGCTCTTCATGTTATCTCACTGAATCTTCACAAGAGCTCAGTGAAGTGGTTACTGGTTTCATATCATTTAACAGATGAGGAAACTGAGGCACATGGATTCAGTAAACAGCCTGAGATCAGACAACTAATTGTTGATGGAGTTCGCTTTACCCTGTTGGTCACCGTCCAAAGCTCCATTGCCTTAATTGTACTATTCTACCTCCTTGTCCACATGGTTTTAGAACCTGCTTCTCACTTTCATTTTCTGTCTTTTTTTCTGCTTGAGGTGTAACTGACACATTAAATTCTAAGCTATATAAAGTATGTACAACATGATGATTTGATACATGTATACACTGTAAAAGGATTCCCTACATAGAATTAACACGTCCACCTCCTCACATATTTACTTTTTTTTGGTGACATTACAAGTTCTACTGTAAGCAAATTTCAGTTAAACAAACAGTATTAGCCTTAGACCTTATTCACCTTATAGGTAAGTTTATAATTTTTTTTTTTACTTGCTCATCCAAACCTTTATTAAGTACCTATGATATGCACAAGCCTGTGCAAAATATTAAAGGAATACAAAGATGAATTTTAAAGTGAAGCCAACTATCAAGGAGTTTACAGTCTAATGGTAGTGACAAATAGTTTAACACAAATTATAAAAAAGAAATAGCAAATAAACCTTTGCCCTTAATTAGAAAAAATCACCTTATCTCTTCATTTAAAGCATAAATTTCCAGTAAGTAAATACTGCTATTATATACCTTTATTAGCTAATCCTCTTTATGAGTTGACTATTTTTATAAAAGAAAATGTCTCTATTACATCTTTATATTTAATTCTTATAACAAAAAATTTGCTTACAGAGGAAAAATGATAAAAGTCATATAACATCATTCTCAGAAAGACAAAGTGTGTCTGGAATAATATGTAAAAAAATTGAACACCCTGGTTCTAGTATTAAAGAGGTAAGCCTGAATTACTTTGGAGACTTGCCTTGGACAAGTTATTATGCACAATTTTATCTCATTTAAAACCAGCTTGTTATTTATTATGATTATAATTCAGAATGCTATGATTATTTCTATCTGCCATAATACACAAGGTTAAAAAGTAAGTATAAAAACTTTTCTAATACTTTATATGTCAAAAATAATTTAGACTAAAGCCAGAGATAAAAAGAAAAACTGATAATAGGGTGGACAATTTAATAATAAACTTTCAGTGCAAAAATAAATGTAGGCTTGCAAGTACCTATTTTTTCCTATATTTTATTACTTTTAAAATATGGTCCAGATTTTAAAAAATTAAATAAAAATAAAAATGGTTCAGATAAGAAAGTTTACTAAAACAACTGTGAGGGTTCATTTTGTGAGATGTATTGCAGAGAAAAAGAATGACTAAACAGTACAATTTTAAGATATGTATTGATTTATGCTTTCCAGAAATTTTTTTTCAAACAAATCACCAAAAGACAATACTTTTCTCTGCTTTCAATGCTAAGCCAGTTTTTTTTCTACCAAAAATAATGAGATAATAATCAGTTTGTGACAGCTGTGATTATAAACCGCTTTTTAAAAATGCAAGTAAGAGCAAAGTTGCAGAGCACATGTAGCAATTTAAAAAACTCAATGGGCAAAGCTTTACCAGGACTAAGTGACTAATTAGCTGGATTTGTCATTTTGGCTACAGATAACTTTGCTAAAGAGCCCTGCACACATCAGAAGGGTTCCTTCCTATCCACGTTCCTAACACAACAAGCAAAGCTGCTAACACTGGATGCTGCAAAAAACAGCAATGGCACAGAGAGGAGGCCCTGCTGATTCTGGTTTATTCTGCAACAGATTTCTCTTCTCCACTTTCTTCTTCGGCTTCTCTTTCCTTGCGAGGATCCTGGCTGTTAGTTTCAGTGAAATAATTTTCTTCCCCATTCTCTCCTCCCATATTTTCTTCTTCATTAAAGCTTTCTTTATCCTCAGTGAAACTTTTCATCTCTTGATTGCTGAAAAACTCAAATATTTTTCCACTTCGGCCTTTCTTTGAAACAGACTCATCAGATATTCCTAGTGCTTGTAGGGTGTTATGAGTAATGCTTTTCTGCTGCCATTCTTGCATTTTTCTGAGCAGCTCTTTGAAATAGCAGTGGCCTGTATTTTAATTTTTTCTCTAGTTCTCGTTGGTATTATCTCATTCTTTCCACTCTTTCTGAAAGATTTTATTCTGGATTTAGACATTTGAGCTAAACTTTGATGTGAGTCATAAGCCTTAGTCCGGGTTGTCAGGAGTTTCTGCAATTCCTTCATTCTTTGTTTCTGCTTAGTTAGGATCCGAGTTCTCTCTTCCAACATTTTCTTTTCCTCAAGTAATCTGGTGGCTTGTTCTCTTCCTCTGGAAGATCCTGTGGGCATTGGAGGATTGTCATGATAAGGCACATGCTTTGCATTGGGACTTCTTACTGGTGACTTGTGCCTTAGAGACTGATAAGCCCGATGTGTTTCTTTCAAATTTCCTTCATCTGCTTTATTATCTGCCAATTTTTTCTCTCTTTTAGTGTATGCATGTGAGGCCACATGAAGATCAGACGGTTTGTAAACAGGATTTTTGGACTTTTCTGTTCTGAGAGGTGCTTCTTATACCTCTCAGGAGGTTCTCCAAAATCAGCAAACTGGCTCTTAGACTTGCATTTATACTGCAATTTTTTAGCCCATTCGGGATTCCTGGGTTTCCTTGTAGCAAAACTGCTGTGAGGTGGACGCTAAGGCGGAGGGGATGAATTCGGTAGAAGTTCTTGGGCTCTCCACTGTGCCTTAATGTTTCTAAAGAGCTCTTCTTCCTCTTCTAATGTGTTATTGGTAGTTGAACTGTAATAGATCGAGGTATAGGTCTGGCTTTCAATTGATTTGTTTTCTTTTTAGACTTAATAAAGCCTCTCAGCTGCTTTTCCCGGATTTCTCGCTTTTGTTCCTCCTTTGCAATAAACTTAAATGGCTTTTGTGAAGCCAAAAGCGCTTCTTTGTTTTTCTCCTTCATAATTCTCCGATCTTCATTTTGCTTGACTATATTATGATAAAGGAGGGAAAAGACAAATTCTGGAACTGGGTTGGCTCAGAATATTTTCTTACACTCTGAATCTTGTTTTTTGAGCAGTTTGTGTACCATTTCCACATCTGATTTATATTTCATGGTCTCTTCTTTTTTCCTCTGTTCTCTAATCATTTGAAAAGGCTCAGGTACTGTAATCTTCGGCACCCATTCTTTTAATTTCCTTGTTTCTTTTTTAATTGCTAGGAAGTCAGCATCTTCACACGGAATGTAATCTTTAACAGAAATGTTGGTCCACCTGTTGTCGATGAGCTCCTTAGCACAGGTCATCATTCTGCTTTCCTCAGGATGGTCTTTTTCCAAGTTGGGCAGCTCACCTTCAGAGGAAGACACAATCAAGAAGGAAGAATGACCTAAATCAGGTTCTGAAAGTGATGTGATTAACGAGATAGGGTGATAGTTCTTTTCTGATACACACATGGAAGAGATGCTAGAAGGTACATCCCTGATGATCACTGGCTTCAGTTTCTTTAAATTTAATCTATTCTGGTACATTTCCTCTAACTTTGCCATAGTTACCATGTGGGCAGTCTGCAGCTCTTTTAGTTTCCTGAAATATTCATCATTAGAGCGGTAAAATCAGAAATGTTTACAGGGCCCTCCTAGTTCATATATGTTAGGTTATTCACCCTGGAAATGATGTTAAAGTCAGTCATCGCCCGTGCCTGTTGCACTGCCTTCTCATCTCCCTGTTCCTCCTCCTCCTCTTCCTCTTCGTCCTCCTCTTCCTCCCAGGCTGCCACCGAGGCCACCAGATCCTCTAAAGGGTCCTGGACCTGGGCAGCCTGCGCAGGGGTGCTGGGCTTTGCCGGGGCATGGACACTGGAGGCCACAGTTCTGCTTGTCCTCTTTTCTAACGTCTCCCTCTCTCCCATAGCCCTGACGATCACCATTCTACTGTTTGACTTTTTAAAAAAATTCCACATATAACTGATAACGTGTGATAGTCTTGTCTGGCTTATATCACTTAGCATAATGCCCTCCTCCAAGTTTTTCCATATTGTCCCAAAATATCAGGGTTTCCTTCTTTTAAAGACTGAATAATATTCTTGGTGTGTGTGTGTGTGTGTGTGTGTGTGTGTGTGTGTGTGACATTTTCTTTATCCATCTGTTGAGGGACACTTAGGTTGTTCCCAAATCTTGGCTATTGTGAATAATGCTGCAATGAACATGGGAGTGTAGGTTATGATTTTGTTTGTTGGAATATATATACCCAGAATTGGGAATCCTGGGTCATAATGGTAATTCTATTTTTCATTTCCTGAGAAACCTTGGTAGTGTTTTTCCAGAGTGGCTGCAGCAATTTACATTCCCATCAGCATTGTAAAAGGTTTTTCTGCTCTTCACATTAAGCTATCACAAGTTCCCCTTCCCCCACCCCAATATTTCTGCAATCTTCGGGGGGGTTTTTTGTTTGTTTTTTTTTTTGGCAACATTGAATGATACTCCACTATTTATTAGACTACTTCTGCAATGTTGCATGGTTATTTTTTTTACCACATTTTAACTCTGATAACTAATAATGCACTAATAATCTTCAAATGGAATGGAATATAGAACTGTTTCTTCTTTTGAAATATTTCCTTGAAATAATGTCAAGAATGGAATTACTAGATCATAGGGTGGGAATGCATTATAAGCCTGTGTTTCATTTCTATAGTTAGCTTTCTTGTTTGCATAAAAGTAAAATCCTTTCCCTCACCCAACACTAGCATCTTAGTCAAGAGTTTTATTTTTATCAAGCATCTCAGGTGTAATATTTTTGGGGGGATGTTTTATATATGGCAAGATCAAAGGAAGGAAATATACTGTTCCCCTTTCCATAATACAAGGCATCAGAACTCAAGCGAGGTCTATGTGCCAAAACCTCTGCCCTTCTGGTTTTCTCTCTGATATTGCATGCAGTGACCCGTATCCTACTTCTGCATAAAAGACACTTGATGAGAAAGACAAAGCTTTTGTTCTTTGGGTGAATGATTGGTTGATTGCCTAGCGTTTTCCACTTGGGAGCAAATTCCTTCTGTGATTTCCAGAGCTTGAAGAGACATTAGTTTGCTTTTCAATTTACATGGCCATTCTACTGAATCCAGCGCTCTGCGATTGGAATAAGCCCCGATACATAACTTCCCATTCAGAATGTATAGCGCAACCATTCTTAATAGTTTGGTTTATTGGCCACTCTTTTCTTTCCCCTAAGGTTTTCTTTCCCCTGGAGGCACATATATTAGTATTTTTAAAGAAGACTGCCATTTTAGTGCCACCTCATGCATATCTTGGTTATTCTGCAGTGAAAAGCCTTTTAAAAACAACTAGAGTCCCTTGGAAAGCAAGCCACTCAGGATGAGGAAACACTGATCTTGGAGGAGTGGGAGGGGCAGGGAGGAGGAGCCAGTGAGCCCTTGTCTATACTGTTCCTTTTTCTCTTTTAACCCTCTAAGAAAAGTAAGCATGATGTATAGGAAAATGCATGAGCAGGGAGTCTGAGCCTCAGGGATGGTGCTGGGTAGAGCAGTGGGATTAGGCAGTTGAGGGATGACCGTTTTTAAGGTCTTTGGCAGACAGTCACCACCTGTATATTTGTTTTACTTGAATGACTAGATTTTTAATTAAAGAAAAACTTGAATTTAAAAAAAACTCAGCAACCTTATGAAGTTTTAGGTCACTTCCAATTTCTTCCTTTCACCCTTACAGCTAATCCAAGACCCTTGGCCTTGCTGACTCTCCCCTTCAGTGCTGTGTTCTGAGATCAGCAGAGGAAGAGTACCTGCTCTCAGCAACTGGGGGGCCACATCCCGGATTCCGTTACCAGGGAAACTGGTTTCAGATGGGTGCAAAGCAGGTGAAAGGTTCAAACATCTTATTTGAAATAATGAAATAAGAATGCAACCCATAGCTCCCTTCTCCCCTCACCTATCTTAATGTCAATTTCCATGGAAACAGGATCAGAAAGGCCGCTGACAGCCAGCAACTGACAGTAAATGCAACCTGCTCTCTAGGTGGCAGGCATCCTTTTGATATCTGCAAATGCCAATTTGTACAATCCTGTGACATATCGTCGGGCTGGAAAGACTCTCTTATTTGAAGAGTGAATAAAATAGAATCTACCCAGCCAAGATGTCTGTCCTATGTTTTATTAAACAATCATTCAGGAATGTGGTCCAGTCTGTTATTATTGCTTTCCATGACACACTCTTTGTCAATACACAAACCTCCGTGTCAGTCATGTTTGCCTCTCTAATATTGGGGGTAATACTTAACAGCCTGATACAATCTCTTCTGGGCTTAATTTATTATATTTTGACGGAATATGCAGACTTTCCATACCTTCGACATAGAGAGTGTAAATGTGAGTGCTGCTTTTAATCTCTGCATCAGAGTCTTAATAGGTGTCACATTGTCTTCTAATTTATACCCATTTTAGATGTTTTGCCTTTTAGAAGACATAGACTCTCAGGATGAAATAGTTAGAAATCTTAACATTCACATCTAAATCATTGAAAAGCCTCAGCATCTGCAGAGCCAAGCCCCGCAGGTAAGCGAGATACTGTTGATAAAAATATTAGCCCAAACACTAGGTATAGATACATCTGTTGTATAATAAGCTTATTACTTCATTTAACATACATTTACTAAGTACTCTACTTGCCACATTTCATTTAAAAAAATAATAAGACCTAGTTTATGCCCTAAAAAAAAAAAAAAAAAAAAAAATCTGAGTCACACCCAAATAGCAGGGACCTGAGGCTGCATGGTGCTTGGACAGGGCGAGGGACCTCAGGCCATGGCCCCCCCTTCCCCACTCCCCTCCTGCCCCACAGGGCTTGACAGGAGGCTTCAGTACACATCTCCACCCTGCGGGACTTGACAGGGGACCTCAGGCTGCCCCCTTCGCCTGGTGGGGCTTGATGGGGGACCTCAGACCGCACCCTCCCCCCACCCCAATGCCCCCCCACACACACACTATATATTTCATTATCTATTTGTCCATCTGTCTATATCTAAGCTATTGGTTC